TGATAACGCATCCGCCCATTCTGCGCATCTGATTCGGGCTTTCGTCGCCAAACACAAAACTCCTGTGGTTCGTCACGCTCCGTACTCTCTTCACATGGCTCCGTGTGACCTTTGGCTATTTCCCAAGCTGAAAATGCCGCTAAAAGGAACCCGAATTTAGTCGAGAGAAGACATCGTGCGGAATGCGACGGACCGGCTGATGGCCATTCCAAAAGATGCGTTCCAGCAGTGTTTCCAGCAATGGCAGGAACGCTGGGAGAAGTGTATACATTACCAAGGAGACTACTTTAAAGGGGATTAGGGTTTTGTAACTCAAAGTCAATAAATTTATTTTTGCCGACCAAAGGTCCGATACTTTTTGAACAGACCTTGTACACTAAGGACATACAAATGGAGTTTGGCCTAGACAAATGCAAAACACTTCATATAGAAAAAGAAATCCCGAAGAAAGTAGATTTTGCACTTGGAAATGGAGACATTGTTGAATTCATGAAAGAGGGCGAGTTCTACAAGTATTTAGGATTCCAACAGGCCAAACTAACAGAACTTATACAAATAAAGCAAAGATTAATTAAAGAATACCAAAGTAGATTAAATGCTATTCTCAGAACACAGTTAAATGCAAAACATACAGTTAAAGCAATAAACACATATGTCATTCCAGTACTCACATATTCTTTTGGAATTATACATTAGACTCACACAGATCTTGAGCAACTCCAAAGGAAAACAAGAACAACAATTACTAAGCATAAACATCATCATCCTAAATCCACCACAGAAACGTGCTTAACAATGTCTATGCTTTTTATATGTTGTGTCTTGTCTGTATGATGTGAGTGTAAATTTAATGGTGTGTTATTTGAGTCTGCTAGAGTTACTGCTTTATATAACTGTGATGTTTCTTGTTTTTTTGTAGAAAAACTCTTGCAGTAACTGTATTTGTTTGTAGTGAAAATTAACTATGTCAATTATGCCACGTCCGCCATCTTTACGTGGAAGGGTTAATCTTTCTGTGGCAGATTTAGGATGATGTTGTTTATGCTTGTTAAGTGTTCTTGTTTTCCTTTGGAGTTACTCAAGATCTGTGTGAGTCTAATGAATAATTCCAAAAGAATATGTGAGTACCGGGATGACATATGTGTTTATTGCTTTAACTGTATGTTTTGTATTTAACTGTGTTCTGAGAATAGCATTTAATCTACTTTGGTATTCTTTAAATAATCTTTGCTTTATTTGTGTATGTTCTGTTAGTTTGGTGTGTTGGAATCCTAAATACTTGTAGAACTTGCCCTTTCCATGAATTCAATAACATCTCCATTTCCAAGTGCAAAATCTTCTTTCTTCAGGACTTCAGGAAATGTAACATCATTTTTTCAGTTAGGAGGTTGAGATCAACCTCCTCCTAACTGAAAAAATACATAATTGGCTATTTTTCTTCTTTCTACTTATAATGAAAGCTTTGTTGAAAACTCCTTTGTTGAAATTTTTAAAAAATGTTTTTGATGTTTTTCAGCTGATGTTGACTCAGCTGAAAAAACATTTACAAACTTCCAGAACATTGAATGGAACTGAGAATTTATATACAAAAAAAGATAAGTTATTTAAACTTTTACAAAAAGCATGTAGAAAAACAATAAAAATGTACTAACAAGGGGACCTTACGGTCTCGGAAATTCAGTTCGGGATGGGACTTGGCAGGTTCGTAGTATACCTCAAGGGTGTCCACCCAGAAGAATTGTAAAGCACACTAGCCAGAAGATTCCGAGAAAAAAGGCTCTAAAATTTTAAGCGCAGCTTATATACCGATCGATTCTACCTTATGGTAGTACAGCGAAGTGGCTCAGTCC